TCCTTAGACCTACATGTCGGCATCGATTCAGAACTTGTTAGAAATGTAAATTCTTGGGCCTCACCGATGATACACAGAATCCAGAACACTGGGGGTTGGATCCAGGAATCTGTGTTTCAACAAGCTCTCCAGGTGGTTCTACAACAGACTACAGTTTGAGAACTCCTGATCTAGAATTGGGTTCTTTACAGTTCATTCCTAGCACCATCAATAGTTTAAGAAGCACAGGAGCCTCATTTAACGGAAGCTCCGGCAGCTGGGTTTACTTTGAATCAAAATGCTTTTAAAACTTACATACTCACTAGGACTGTGTCATGTCAGCCAAAGCATTTATTTTGAGACTGTGGTCCAGGTAATAGTTGAGTAGGTAATGTTTATTGAATACTTAAGATGTGAGCAGTAGTTGGCACATAGGAACTCATTTAATCCTTAGAACAGCAGCATGAGGAACCAAGGCCCAGAGAGCTAAGGTAGACTGCTTAATGTCACCAAACTGGAAGGTGGCAGCTGCAGGCGTCTAACCCCTACAAGGCTGACTCCAGAGGCTTTGCCATGCTCTTTGTGTGGTGGGGGGATTTAATCAAAATGATCACAAAGAAATGCATTGATCATATTCTCGGCTTCGTTAAAGAGAGAGATGATCAAAGATAGATACTTAGTTTTGTTGTTTAATAGACCGTATGGCTTTTTTTGTATCCCTTTTGTTATCACCAGCCATGTTTTTTTCATTAACCTTAGAAATAAGGGAATAATGAACTTCACTGACCATAAAAGAAAATAAATTAAGTGAAATCCATGCTGTGTTATTAATACTTAATTCCACTGAAAAGAAAATCAAAATTGCATATGGAAGAATGTACTGGTTTGTGTCCCCAGCCTTCTAGGGTTTCCTGAGATGAGATAGTTTTATATTTCTAAGCTATCTGGGGAATGTTTTTTTCCAGTGAATCACAAAAGGAAGCCTAAGCTTGGGTCCTGTTGGGATTCCCTTGGTGTTACACATGGGGTCTGCTCAAGTTCCCTGAGCTTTGGGAAGCATGGTTTAAATATCATAGATTTAGTACCTATAACATCAAGTTTTCTCTTTGATGATTTGGTTTCTTTCTCAGGTGTGCTTTTGAGCAGTCACAGAAAAATCTTGGCTCTTCAGATCCCCCTTCTGTGATGCGTCATTGTAATTGCTTGGCCACCTCAAAGATTCTGGACATTGCTGAGGATGAGGTCAGGCCCATGCATGGTTTGAGTGTGATACTGGATATGGGCTCTAATTCTAGGAAGTAAACTTCCTAGGGCAGACAGTGGTTCTTAATTAACTAGACCATTGCCCTTGATCCTTTGTTTCTCTTAACAGCCTGATGAGGAACTCTCTTTTTAACAATGTTGGTTTGATCAGGCAGTTCTTGATGTTTTTTCATAGCAGAGGACTTTGCAGTTTGTCCTGCTCCCCTACCTCAAAATGGAAATGAATACTTAACAAATAACTTGTGATTATGCTAAGCAGAATGCACTTGTTTCCATTCAGTAATAATGAACATTTTCTCCATTCTGCAGCCACCAGTGCAGTAATCAGTCCAGGCAAGGACCATCTATGGATGCTAAAACCTTTGGGGGAAGGGTTTTTATGAGCAGAATAGCAGAGTTTTAAAGTGTCACCTCACAGATAATTTATTGATTTAAAAGGGAAGAGAGCAACTTTTACGATGAAGAAATCTGGTGGACCCCTCCTTAATCAAGTCATCAAATTTGATATCACTAAACCGAGCCAAACTGTTATCCTGAGCTTCCTGATGTGATGCAGTGGGAAGGACACAGCATCATGCACATAATATTCTTGTCCAACTTGCTTTAATCCACCTCTAGTCATCAGACAAAGCAAGATTGTTGAACTTTTTATAAGACACCTGGCCTGAATTCTTAGCTTCATGGAAGACAAAAATTGGCAGGGGGCTCAGAGGGGTGAGACTAAAAGACATGTCATCTCAACGTGTGATCTTTGACTGGATTCTGGATGGGAAGTAATAACAATAAATAAAAAGGGCATTACTGAGATTGCTGGTGAATGTGAGCTTGTGTGAGCATTAGAAAATTCCCCACCCACGGGCACTTGAGTGGCTCAGTCAGTTGAGCGTCCAATTCTTGATCTCAGCTCAGGTTTTGATCTCTGGGTCCTGAATTCAAGTCCCATGTTGGGCTCAGGGTGGAATCTCCTTAAAAAAAAAAAAAAATTCCATACCTGTGTTACACGTCCAGGTGTGATCATGGTACCAGGAGTTCTTAGGAGATGTAAGCTGAAGTATATGGAGGGGAAGTTTCTGCAACTTCTTTCAAATGGTTTAGCTACAATAACAAATGAACAAATAAATGCATTTGTTAGAAGAGAGATAGTGCGAGAGCAAGTAAGTATGGCAGAGTGTTGGCTATTGATAAATCTGGGGGAAGGTATGTGGGTGGAGTTCATCTTTCCTGTGAATTTAATTTTTTTTTAGATAAAGACCTTTGGGTATAAAGAATGAATAAATACAAGTGAATACTCTTTCATAACTCAATACTGTCCCTCCTTGTCTATTACCTGTAGTTCATGGATCAGCAGTGTGTGGGCAAAAACGTCACCCATTTCAAGTCAGACTCTTAGAAATAGCCTTCCATGCTATACACTTTGGTTCTGGGCTCTGCTTTAAAGTCTATTCTTACATCTTTGCAATGGGGATGTCATCACCCTATAAATCTGCTAGTGGCACGAAGAATTACGATTTTCCAAGTTATAATAAGCCCCAATTGTGGTTTGGTGAGCTTGTGTCACATACATTTTTATTGAATGAATGAAAATAGTATCTTACAGAAAATAATATCCTATGGATGGCTAGCTCATGGGGGTTTTATAGCTGTTAGCAAGCAAAAAGACACAGTCACTGGACTCCATTGGTATCCAGCCTCTTGTCGTCTCTTCCCAGCTGCATACCCCAGCCACTGCTCCGGCGCCCACCACTGCACGGGTATAAGCTGGCAGCACCCCGCCTCAGCTCCAATACCTGTCTCTCACTTTCTGCCGTGATGATTTTCTGCCACCATTCTACTTCTTGTCATGAGTACGGGGGTTTATAACCCATGGCAACCCTAAACCTGTGGAGAAATATAGCGTGAGGATGAGTATTCTCTTCTTTCATCCCTTCGGTGGGGAGATCTGAGGCATGCTTCCTGGGCTCCTCTGAGCACCCCCCCCCCCCCCGCCAGCAGATTGGGCCTTGAGCAGGTGATCGTAAGGCTGCAGTGATAGGAAGTTAGGAAGACATGTCGCTAAGTGTGTACCGTTCTGTGAAGTTGGTTGTAAGACAGTCGACTCTGGGATCTAACATAAAGTATTGAGAGTAGCAGGACAGTTCCTGCATCTACAGGTTCTGTAGAGGAGACGACCAAGAGGATCACCAGAGGAGGATGTGGCAGGACTTCCATGATTTGAACGGAGGCATAAAATAGAGACGCAACAGAGAGAGACCTGTTCTAATCTCTGATGGGGATTGAAATATGGCAGGGGAGCTCTTACCAGAAGACCAGGCAGGGCAGCAAGGGTCTGGGGTTCTTCATGCAAAATCCCACAGCACTAGGCTGGGGCTTGCTGAATTACGTCAACCTCATAGGAGAAACTAAAAATGGGGAGTAGTCCCAGTTTGGTGGGAAGAGGGAATAAGGAGGCTGGATACCACCTGAAGCCTTACCTGTACAGGCTCGTTAAGCACTGTGATTACCTGTTTCATTGTATAGCTCAGGAGGATTTGGTGACTTTTGAGTCTCTGTGGTTAGATATCCATCAGTACTTAGAGCATGGGCAGTTGATGTACTTTCTACTGCAGTTAAAGTACAGATGTTGGAGACCTGATTAAATTCTGTCTCTTTACTGATACCCCGAGGGGACACTTAATGAATGATGCTCCCTTTAAGAAGAAGAATAATTAACAATAGCTATATTATTCATATTAATTTATAGTTACTGGTTACTATAATTAATGCTATTTAAGAAAATGATCATAATTATAGCACTTTACAATTTACAAAGTATTTTCCCATCCATTTTCTTATCTGAATCTTGTAACATCCCTCTGGCTTAGGTAGGGCAGGTGAGGGGGAGGAAACTATGGCCCAGAGAAGAATCTAAACAGTCCCCAGCTCTTACCACTATATTATGCTGTGGTGCTATGGAAATACACATAGGAGAATCAGATTCACACAGTTCTCAGTTACCTTCCCAAACACCAATGTCCCGTCTTTCCATGTTGTACCCGGACCCATTCCCCAAGCCCGCTCACGATTCCTGGGAATGCACTTGTGACAGTGTCTTCCCCTCTACTCACCCTTTGTGCTTCTGAGTGCAGGTGGAGGGCGGCGCTTGTGATAACACGGGGTATTGACAGGTGAAGTCCATAGATCTCCAGCTTCATAGTCAGTGACCGCCACCACAGGCTTCCTCTGCAGCCCCTTGGCCAGAACTCTGAGCAGACCCATTCTAGTGCACTTTGAAGGTGCATTGCTTGGAATGCACTGGGTCTCTCTCACAGACGCATCTAATACCCAACTTAGCTTGCCGATTCCTCTTCCTAGACCATTAGTCTCCTGCCCGTGCCCCTTCCTGCTCCAACTCAAATGCTGTCATTCTATGTGATGATTTCTGAACACAACTTGTAATATCTCCCCAGTTGGATCTGCGCCTTCAGCGGAGGGGTGGAGGCATTTACTTCCTTTTACTTGTAAATTTGTAAAAAAAAAAAAAAAAAAGCCTCTAATGAGTGTGATTTTAGGGAAATCACTTCATATCTTTCGGTTTTCTTATTTGTCAAAACAGGATAATTCTACTTCAGATTTTGTAAAAGCTAAAATAAGTGAAGTGCAGAAAAGCTTGGACCAAGCCACACTGTAACTTGAGAGATTTGCACTCAGACTGATAGCACTAGACACTGGAGATGGTTTTTTTTTGGGGGGGGGTAACACGTCTCTGTTACTTTCAACAGGGAAATCCTGGAGGCAAGACCCTTGAGGAGAGACGTTCTAGCCTGGATGCCGAGATAGACTCGCTGACCAGTATCTTGGCCGACCTTGAGTGCAGCTCTCCCTACAAGCCTCGACCCCCACAGGTAAGAGCCTTCTGTAAACATGTCCACACTGTCGGCCACCGGAGTCCACAGCCACCTGAGAGAACAGGCTGCGGCTTGTTGCCCTTCCATTCATTTTTGACCTTCTCAGAGTCAGTGTTCTACATTGCATTTTTTTTTTTTTTTAATATCAGCGTATGTTAGTTGACAGAAACTTCTTCAGTTGAATTAACGAGTATTTATTTTAAAGGAACGCAAGAGTGTTATACAAAAATGTTGTGAAAATTAAATCTGCTCTTATTCTATTGCCCTGTACTTTTTCTGGCTTTCCCTATGACGGGTATTTTGTTATATGTCAGTATCGTCTGCACAAATATACTTTAGCATGGCTAGATTCAAGTTAAGGTGAGGGCTACATCTTCTGTAAAGAAACCCTTTCTGTTGGCTGTGGAGGTGGCTTCCATTTGGTGGTGGCTGTTGTAAGTAATGCTCTGAGCGACATATTCATGTCCATTTTCTTTGCAGTTCCTTCCCTGTCTCAAGATTCCTCAGGGGGGGATTTCTACGTTGAGGAGCATGACCACTTCCTTCAGTTTTCTTGTCAAAGGTTGTGGATAGCTTATACTCACATCAACACTTTGGAAATATATATAGTTCTCCTCCATCTCACCAGAGTTAGTGATAGCTGCTAGGATCTGTATTTTAAGTGCAAACGGAGCGTTGTCATTAGCTCTTCCATGCATTGCTTTGCTCACTTTGGAGATTGGCTGTTTCTCTGCTCCTCGGTGTCCGCAGAAGCTGATCTTCCACTGCTGTGGGTCATCGTGTCTCTCTCGGGTCTCGAGAAGGCAATGGCAGAACTACTCGAGGGCTTCTGAGTCCTCAGAAGACAGCGAGCAGAACTCTAGGTGCAGACACGGGACTGGTACTGTCATCAGTGTTGTTTGACTCATGTGATGTTTGCTGGACCACGTGACGGTGCGTACGGCACTCTGAGCCTCACTCTGGTTCTTGAACAATAGCTCCTGTATTCACAGTGGATTCTTTCACAAGCCAAAAGCCAGTCCTGCCTCTCCTCCGTCCGTCATTTCCACACATAAGATGGCAGTGCTTTCCTCATTGGACATATTCCCATTACTTTTTCTAGACACATCATGGGGCCGTCAGCCATGTGGGGGCACAAGGCCGAACAAGAGAGCTTGGTGGTTCCTCAGCTGTGTTGTCTCTACCAGCCCTACCCGTGGGGAAAACGCATTTCATTTCAGTCAACATGCCCTGAGCGGCAGGCATGGAGCAGGCACTCTGGTCTTTAGAGGGAGCTATGCGGAGAAGGAAAGGGAGAAAAAGAGAACCAAGCTGCCATCTTCTAAGAGCCCATGATGTTAGAAGTCATACTCCGGCAGATACGGTAGAAGCACATGAACATGGCAGGCTCTGAGAAGGTTTATCAGAGAACCTTCGTGTTCAGCTGGCGGGAGGGGGGCCTTGCAGTTTTGGGGGCCAGAAGGGAGAACAGCCTGAGCTGGAAAGCAGGAAGGTCCAGGGTGTGTTCAGGGAACTGCAAGCAGCTGGATAGTTGCAGAGAAGGCCACTGAGGGCTTGAAGTGTGCTCTAGGACCAGAAGGTTCCCTACTGAGAGCCTGTGGACACATTCGAAGGCCAGATTCACATTCTGGCCTATCGTTTATAAAGATAATGGGGAACAGTTGAAGGTTCTCAAGCAGGGGAAAATTAAAATTCATTCTAGAAAAAAACAAAAACAAAAACATAGAAACAAGACCAACTCTGGAAAGATCCAGGAGGATGAGCCCAAGTCTGAGAATTATTCTTCAACAAGCCTTGCTTACTTCATCGCTCCTGGCCATTGTTTGATGTTAAACATTTTTTGTATTCCACCCAACACATACCTCAAGCCCAGTTTTTCAGGAGAGGGAGACCACTGACTTTACAGCTGGACTCACCTGTCTTATGCTCAAATGCTTCTATGCCCCACCACACTGACCCACCCTGTTTTTAATAGGGCTTTTCTTTAGACTTTTTTTTTTTTTTTTTAATCTCCTAAATTCTTATACTGTAGTTTATACTGGGGAGGTTCTGCTTAGAGGTTTTTGCTTAATATAGCTTTCATTCTTTAAGGCTATGTCTCTGCATGTCTCCCATAAATCACTGCATTTTAATGGGTTGTTCAGCAGCTACATTTTTGTTTGAGCCATCATAATGTGCACACAAACTCATAATCACTGATATTTGGACAGTACTTTACTGATGGTAAAGCACTTTCACATATGTTCTCACTTGACTAACGTATAGATGCCTCAACTCTGAGACACAGAGGGTATGCTTAATTTGTGGCTGAGGAAACAAAGATGTGGCAGGTAAGTGACATGGCTCAGCAGGACATATGACTATAGTGTGGGCATAGCTGGACCTTGACTTTTTTGTGTGTTTGGTTTTAAGTTCTAGAACAAGATTGAGGATGCCAGGATTTTTTTTTTTTTTTTTTTTTTTACCAGTGACAACACTATGAAATCAGTCATGTGAGTAACAGTATTGCTGAAGTATGGCTTTCTCATAAAAAATAAAACATTTAGAAGGTTTAAAAAGCTAATAATGGTAACCCTTAGATAAAAGAAGTTGAGGATTAGGAGAAAATCTATTTTCAGTATGCCTATTCCATTCAGAAATTAAAGAGTGATCCTTTCTAACTTTTTTTTGTTATTCTGATTTAGGAAAGCAGGGGTTAATTGGGAGCGCTCTCTCATTCTTCTGAATTATCTTCACTCTGGTGGAACTGAATTAGATGTGTTAGTATTTATTGGTTAACATAATTATATGCTGTGAGAACAATAATCACACACTTAAAATATTAACAAAAATATGTGCCAACAGAAGATGCTACTTGCAGGGGACTGTGTTGTGTTGTAATTAAAAGGTACTCAGAAAGTCCTAGAAATGTAGACTATTAATGCCCAACTTTGATGTTTCCATTTTTGATACAAAGCAAATTGAGACTCAAAGAAAATCCATTGAGTCACCTGAATACTTAAAGTAGGCTAGTAGGTCTATTATTTCTCATTATTTAAGCATGTGTTGTATGCTTACCCAAGCCCACCTCTGAATCACCTTTTTAGGCTGCTTTGACTCATGGATCTAAGGAAAAATGATGATATATGTGGAGTATTTGCAGAGGGAGAGGTCCAAAGGAGCTCTATAACTTTAAAAAATGTCTGAGCTATTAAAAATATATTTTATGGGGCATTTTCTTCCTTGTTCCAAGGGAATACTTTGTGCTCTCAGATTTCCCAACTTTAATTCTGTGCTTATTTATCCGTTTTTTTAATTTGGGAAATTTGGCTTAATTCTACATATTCGTTCACTCCTAGCATTTATTGAGATCCCACTGTGGATTAGGCATTGGAAATATAAAGATCAGCATCAGTATATCCTTGCTCTAGAGTAATTTCTAATCTTACAGAAGAGACAAGCACATAAACAGTTCAAAAGGACACCAAAGAAGCACTTCCCTGTGCTACTTGAAGTTATCATGTGACTCACCAGATGTTGAAATTGTTGAAAAATCAAAAATAGGAATATCAGCATTATACTTCATACCTTTCTAGGGAAGTGTCAGGGCGGACTTCATGGAGTGGGGAGAATTTGAGTTTACTTGGCTGCACATGTCATGGGAAGGACATGAGATTCAAGGTACCAGAGAAACAGGAATGAAGAAGTCAAGGAATGTTGAAAGTGAATGCCTTGTTTGAGGATGAGTTAGGTCCTTTGTGACATATAGGGTATGTGGAATGCAAAGTGGAATGGCAGATGGAGAAATCACCTGTTCTTAATACCCAGGTTTCCGTCTTGATGCCCAAGGACTCATAGTAAGGGGGAATGGGAAGCGCGCGCGTGCGCGCGCGCGTGTGTGTGTGTGTGTGTGTGTGTGTGGAGGGGTAGCAATAGTGCTTCTGGCTACAGTAGGATTGGGGGTAATTTTTTAAACAAATTTTATATTATAAAAATATACATTTGTGACACTGCACAAAATGTGCGTATTAGGAAATAGTTTGAGAAGAACAGCTGTGAGAAGGTCAGGGTTGGTTATGAGGAGAATCACAGACCCAGTATGATCATAGAGTATCAGAGCTTAAGTGAGCTCTTGGGGTCATGTAGCCCAACACTTATTTTACAGAAGGAAAGTTTTTCCCCAGAGAGGGAAAGATTATTGTTCAATGAGGCTTAGTTAGAGGCAAGATGAATGATTCTCTTTTTCCAGAACCATGCCATAATGGTTCTCTGTGGATGATAACAACAACCAAGGGACAGTTTGGTTCTTTTTAGCATCTCAATTAGTTTATTCCACAATGTCTGTCTTTTGTGATACTTTCCCTAAAAATATGTCTTGGAAACATAACGAAGGAGGAGATAAAGAACATATCTCAAAGGTAAACAGAAAATTTATGATCATATAGCATCTGTGAGTTAGTATATATCTAGACCTTACCCACTGAGCATCATTTCTTGGTAGAAGTGCAGCTCTGCTCAGGTTCAATTGCAATTCTGTCAGTTTCTTAGAAGACGAAGGATAAATCATGAACTTTTTTTTTTTCTTTCTCTTAGCAGAGGCAGAGCTAGAGTGCTGGTCTTCTAATTCCTAGTACAAAGCTGCCTCTTCTTCCCACAAGGAGTTGGGTAGCACTGGAGATGGTCCCTAGGTGACCTGGAAGAACTTTCAGATATTTTATATTAATAGCCCATGGTACCTGGGGATTTAGTAACTTCTGGATCAGGTCGCCTTTGAATCGATCAAATGGGATTTCACTATCCTCATTTATGCTAGTATGAAAATTTTGGAGAGATTTTGGGCATAAGGATAGGGCTGGACATAGTTTGAGACCTGAGACTCCAAATTTGCCGGGAAGAAGACTACTGTCTTCTCCGTTCCACGTGGTCTCCTCTCTAGGAAGAGCTTCATTTGCGGGAACTGTCACATCACCAGGCTGAGCTTCCTTTCGTTTCTGAAATGGGCATGGTGACTATGATGA